AAGTTCAAGTCATTTTTTTGGTTGCAGCTCTTCGGCACATGGAGACTCTGCAAAGTTTGGTTCCTTTGGAACAGTTAAAATAGTCTTCCTGGGTCTTGAACGAGAATTGGAATTGGCACTGCAAACTTTACTTCCAGATGAGTCGCTATATTACCCGCCTTTGCTGCTTCCTTAGGCTTTGATTAGATGAATTTTCATCAATTGCACTGAGCTGCTGCTTACCAGGTGTTACAAAAGACCGTTCTCTTTTTCCTTGATAAAGCACTGCACAATACGACCATGCTATAACTTTTTCTTACTTCTGAGGCAAGTGTTTTGACACTAGTGATGATGTAGATTTAATTTTGAGGCTAAATTGTTATATTTATTGAACAAGTCAAGGCTGTTTAAGAATTAGTAGTTTAATTCACTCATGATTAAAATAGTATAATTTAATTAAAATATATAAAAATATTCATATTTGACCATATTTAGTACACCTTCTCTTCTACTATTTCAACTAATTTGGGCCCACTCAGGGAAAAATGTCTGTAAGAAGGAAATTTTTTTAAAGATTAAAACAATGTCATTTTTACTTGCCAAAAAAAAATCCATTTTTAAGCTTAGGAGGGGTGAAAAATACTTATAATATACAACTCAGTAAACCCATCCAACCCATCAGATTAGCCAAGTTACATCAAGTTAATCTAGGTTATATGGGCTAAACCTAGGTTTGGTCAAAATGATGTCATTTTTAGGTTCATAGGGAAATATATATAATATGTGTGTGTGTGTATGTGTATAACATGTAATCCAATCAACCATTCAACCCACCAGTTTACATCGGGTTAACTAAAGCTAGCTTAAGTTGGTCAAACGATGTTGTTCATGCTCAAGAGGGGCAAACAATATATGATTATTCAACTCAGTCAGCCCATCCAACCGACTTGGTTAGCCGGGTTAATCTTGGCTCGCTCACTTGACCAAATCCGATAAGGTGACCGATTCATTGGGTTACCAATCCAGCTAGCTGGATGTGTCTGGGTTTCAATACCATGGTTTGATAAATAAACTATTGGAATCGGGAGTAAACAAAGGACTATGAACTAACTTACCTTCTTGGCCTTACTAGTTTGGGCTGTGTCATATGGGACGTTCTTTTAAAGTTGTCATCCAATTTTTGAGCTGCCTTTTCTCGTTGTTTTGGCCGTTCCGCGGTATCGATAGGTTTCTGAAATTTAGGGCCATCTCTTCTTTGGGGAGTGGCATAATCTGTTCACTTCCATATTGGAGTTTCCAAGGACAGAACATTGAATGCTTACCTACATTAACATTTAATGCTTCAGCTTCAGCTCCTTTCTTTTCTTCTTGTCTCTAATATTTCATATTGTAATAATATTCAAAGGACACCATACTCATGATCCTCTTCACATAAACTTACAGATTTATCTCCTTCCGTTGCATGGTTTGTTCTGTCTTCGCAGCTGTTATTATCGGAGAGTCTTGTTCATTCCTCTGATGGAAAAACAAGGAACGCATACTTCAGTGAAGTTTGACGTACGTAATTTGAAAGATCGTGCCTTTGTGTCTAAAATATGTATTCTCGAAGTGCCAGACATGATCACGCGTCTTTGAGTGCATATAGAGCTCACATATTATTTACTAATAAGAAAGCAGTGGAATGACATTACATTTTAATACAAAATTTTGAAGTTAAAATTAATAATTTTTTTATTATATATTAATTATTAAGTCTAATTTTATCCGATGTAACACTTTCCACATCAGCTTCTCTAGTCTACTTGGACACTAAACATATTTAAAATGAAACTTACTTGGATTACACGTTTCCTCATTGTTTTGCCTCCTTTAGCGGTGGTTTCTTTCAAGGGGGAGAGAGGTTTCTTTTCCAAGTTTGCCTCCTTGAGAATTCCTCTTTCCTGAAAGCAACCAAAAAACATGAACGAAGAGTTAGCTACTGTAACGTCTTTGAAGATTCGAACTTCATGAAACCAACAATAACAGAACATCCTTACTCACATCTGTTCTCAGCTTAAAAGGCTTGGGATTTGTTGGCCTTATTTTCTGTATTTCACAACTTTAGATCCAGTTGTTGCATTAGATGTAGGTTTCTGTTTCCAAGCCATAATAATCAAATCTTCATTCTAATGTATCAAGAACGAAATAAAGCATAAATTTTGAAGTTTTGCTTCAGGATAAAAGCATATTTTGTGAATCTGAAACAGCATTAATGAAATTCTGAAATTGATCTTACCTTCTGTTTTTTCCTCAACTCATCATTCTTGGGCTTTTCAAGGTTTTTATGATTGATAACAATTGTTCTGTGGAAAAAATGATTAGATTATGAAATTGAGGAAGCAAGTGATACTCTTGTTATGATCGACTTTGATGCAAATTAAATCTATACCTATTCTCATCAGGGGGCTGAAGCATTTTCATTGAGTTCAAGCACATTTTCTTTATTATCGTCATCAGATGCCAAAGAATTCTCTTTATTATCATTTCTCTTATCGTCATCAGATGCCAAAGAATTCTCTTCATTGTCATTTCTCTTTGCAGCTTCTGGATTTTTTCCTTTCTCCTCATTTTCTGTGCAATAGTCTTCCACTACTCTTCTTCTCCTCCGCTTCTTCTGAACTTGTTGATGATTATGACATCTTTCAAGAGAACCATCCCTTGATTTCTCATCGATCTCCATGTCACTAGAATCACCATGGTCAACAATAGATCCTTCATGAATCTGAGAAGCACTCTTAATTCTTTTCCCCTTTCAAACATCTGTTAGGATACAAAGAATCAAACACACGGCTCTTAACCTCACGTCCCTTGAACTTCTTTCTAGAAGCTTCTTCATTCTTCTTCTTTGCGCTATCAATCTCAAGCTTCTTCATTGCTGAACACAGAGATTTCATGGGTGTCTTTTTTAGTTCCACAGATCTCTTGATCTTCACTGCTTTTTTCGGTGAGTGAAATACAAGAGTTTTAGCTATTACTCTGTTCTTAGGCACAGCCACATTCAATGCTTCTTTTTTGCTTTGCACAGTTCTGAATGATCTATATTCAAACTCTTCTTGTTTTCTGGGAGTAGTAAGAGCCTTAGCCGTAGCAGATGATTGCTTCACCTTAGAATTTTTGGGGTTGCATTAACCTTAGAAAGAGGTCTTGTTCTTGCCTTGTCATAATCACCAATCTTTTTGGAAAATGATGAAATCAAAGCCAATCTTGAACCCTTGTCTTGGAAGATTTTGCTGGAGCTGTTAGTGGGCATTTCAGATTTGCACTAAGAACCCAAAAAAAAAGAAGAAGAGGATGAGTATTATCAGCAAAAATTTTAGTTGAAGTGACTAAGGGAATAAGTAATAGGTCTTTTTCGTTACCTTGCTTCTCTTTTATTCAGTGCTTTTCTGAGGCGAACATTTGGACTTCTTGCTGCCATAACCTGTAAAAGCCAATAGTCACTCACACCATTGTGTTGATACTGGGAATTTGATCAAATATCACTGAAGTGAAGTTCAAGAAGAGTGAAACCAGAACCGACCCGAAGGACAAAATTCTTGTAGATTGCTTCAGAATCCAACTCTTCTTCATGATTTTGGTCACATCCTGGCCAGGAGGAATAACATACGAGTGTAATAGACTTAAAATTTTCATGCATGTTTGCACAGTCGATCAGCGTGAATGTAAAGTAGTGAAAAAAGTCAAGAAGTGAAATATAATATTACCAATAAACTCATCACATGCAGCTGAAAGAAACACAGGAAATGATACAATTCTGACATATACATACATTAGCACAATCGGATTCAGAGAAATTTGTATATCAGACTGTATAATTTGCATTCAGCATCACACTCTTATCCGAGAATGAGTATATATGATTAAGATCGGGTTTCATTTATTTGGAAATTTTAAGAGTTCTATCATACTGATCAAGAAATCTAATTTCCAGTTAAAGTCGCGAGTAAACGAGTGAAAACTTAATTTTCAGTTAAAGCAATTACCAACGCGAGAGCAGAACCAGTAGCGATCTTCATGAGAACGGCGAATCTCCGGTGCGGTGAAGTCAACGAACTTGGGCGCTTCGATCTTCTCGTAAAACTCCTCATCTATTTTCTCTTCTTCGATCGCCGGCAACGATGGAGCTTCCGCCATTTCCTATCCTGAAGAGCTTTCACGCAGAGAGAGAGAGAGAGAGAGAGATGAGAGATGAGAGAAGCAGAGGAGCAGAGGAGCGTGGTGTGGGCCGAGATGAAGGAAGTTGGAGGTTGCGACGAGAGACAATTTTAAATTCGTTAGTTCCGTAAGTAGCCGTTGGAAAATTCGGACAGGCTGGTAAGAGAAACGGCATTGTAGGGGTGATTTGGTAATTTCGTTAGTGCAGGCTTTCTGGGTCCTGGCATAAAATTTTTTTCCAAAGCGGCCCATTGATAATGAAAATAAAGATGAAGGTCTCATTACGGCCCTAAAAAAGTTGGAAGGCAAAGACTATTTTCTCTAAACTAGTTTTTTTTTATGTGCATGAGATAAATAATAATTTAATTTTCTTAAAAAATTATACTTATTTATTAATTTAATAATAAAATATTGCTGAAATATAAAGAAAAATTGAAGTAATGAATAAATGTTGGATGGATTCTTAAAAAATGTGAAGAACTGAAATAATAAAACAATTAGAGAGTCCAAGATGAAAGTTGTATTATTGGTTATATTTTATTAACGTAACTACCAATAATTTTCTTACATTTTATATTAGTATTTGAAGAGGTATTGTTAGAAGAAAAAAAACAATTAAAGAGTACTATTTTGAATTTCTTTATTATTAACCAAAGTGTTTTACAGTGATGGATTTAGGAGGGCAAGCACCCACGTGACAAATTTTTCGACAAACTTGCTTGGATTTTCCTTGTAAAAAAATGATACAATTAATTCTTGCCCCTACTATTATGTAATTTTACATTTCAGCCCCCATGCTATTGTTTCTAGATCTATCACTAGAGTTATAATTTTTTTAAGTACAAGATCTTGGGTTCGAATTCTTGTACATGTAAAAAAAAAATAGTTTAAAAATATATTTTTAATTAAGCCTGACAATATTAAAACTATATATAAAAAATCTTGAGTATTTTGAATAATATGAATTTTTGGAATGTGAGGAGTACGCAAATATATATATATATATATATATATTATGACCTTTTTCTTTTAGTTTCCCTCACTTTTATAGTGAATCGAATTCGAAGATAAAAGACTTGTTTTCTCTTTTACTTTAAACACATTTTAAAGGCTTTAAATCTTAACAGATTTAGTTATCTCTCATTTATCATTCTTCTTTTTTTACTTTAAGGATACTTCAAGAACTTTTTATTCAAAAAATCAAAACGAATGTAGTAAACTGTGACGAAGATATAATTTTGTTTGGTTAAATTATAAAAATAAAATTAATGAACTTTATCCAATTGGCTGGTCGAAATATATGATGATGAGCTTGTAAATGATGTAAAAGTGCTTTAAAAAAAAATCAGACAAGTAGTATTTCCAGTAAAACGATTACAAATAAATGAGCTTCCGGAACAAAAACTAAAAACCCAGATAAAAAAAAAGAGAGAGAGACTGAAAATAGTACCACCGAAGACAAAAAGAGAGCCAATAGTACCGACAACAATAAAGATAACAGAAAAGGTCAGCATTGCTAAATTGTGGTCCAACTGGTGATAATTTTGAAAGCTCACGTAAAAGTAACAAGTAACCCGATCAAAAAACTGGTCCACTCCTTATTCCTGAAGTTGAAAATGTGGAAATTATGGAAGACCTTAGATTAATATCCTTGTGCAATGTCAGTTACAATAATTTCTAAGGTTATTACCAACTGATTGAAGCCTATTATGAACAAAGTGGTGGAGAACATCAATACAGCTTCATTGCAGGCAAGCAAAGCAGTGACAACATAATTGTGGCTTAGAAAATCATTCACTCTATGAAAGTCAAGAGAGGAAAGAATGGCCATATTGCAGTGAAGTTGATCTTGAGAAAGCCTACGATAGAATTGAGTAGCCTTTTCTCAAAAAAAACTCTCAAAAAGCTTGGAATTTATGACAACATGGTCGATTTGATAATGGCTTGTGTTGAAAGTGCATCGATTCAGGTACTATGGAATGGTGAAGCCTACAAGGAAATTAAATCATCAAGGGGGCTTAGACAAGGAGATCCAATTTCTCCTTACCTCTTTACTCTATGTATGGAGAGGCTTAGCCATATTATTGAAGATGAAGTTCAGAGAGGGCACTGGAAACCTTTTAAATTCTTTAAGAATGGCAAAGGTATTTCTCACCTATTCTTTATAGATGATCTTGTCCATTTTGGTGAAGCATCCACCACTCAAATGGAGGTTATGATGAATTGCATTAACTCCTTTTGTGAGGCTTCTGGCCAAAAAGTGAATATAAACAAGATAAGGATGTGTGCTTCTAAGAACGTCCATTTTTCTTGAGTTTGATTTGAGTTCTTGCTTATGAGTGTCTCTCACCGGAGATTTAGGGAAGTACTTTGGCATTCCCTTACTTCATAAATGTGTTACAATTAGAATTTTTGACCCCATTATAAAGAAAGCTAGGACAAGATTGTAGGGATGGAAAGGAAAATTATTATCTATAACAGGTAGAACTTGTTGTATGTGTGTCAAAAGTGTGTGTGTCAAAGTCCCACATTGACTAAAAGAAGGAATCTCCTAGTGTATATATACTAAGGAATAAAGTGGGCTAGTAAAATGGGCTTAGAGGAGAAGTGGCTTCGCGCACATAAGACAGACCAACTCAGGGCAATCGCAGTTGAAATCAGCCGATTCGCGCCCCCCCTGTGTGCGAGTTCAAGAGGCACTGGGTTACTTTTATTGGGTTATTTTTCCAAAAATGATTAAATAAATAATTGTTTTTAGCTTACCTAAAAAACCTTTGATTTTGCTGTTTTGAATTTGAACTTAAGGCTTTGGCAGTTTTTAGACATTAAACCTCTTCTGAAAACTGAATTTTGTAGGTTAATGTTTTGTCTGCCAAACGTCTCCAGATTGATGAACGCTGAACGTTTTCGAATTAATGTACGTGCATGGTTTTGTTGTTTAAGGCATGTGTAACTGAAGCATTAATCCAGGAACGTTCGTTGTTTAATGTGTGTGTAACCGAAGCATTAACCGGTAATTATAACCCAACATTTGTGTCTCCTTCCTTAGCCTATAAATAGACATGGGTGCGGAAAGAACAGTGTGCCAGCATTCTCTCCTCCCTCTGTCTTCTGTTCGTCTACTCGTCTGGGCTTATTTTTAGTCTTTGTTATTCTATTCCCTTGCTCCGTCGCAGGAAGTGCTTGTTTAATTCTGGGAAACTGTCGGTCCGTTGTCCAGGTGTACCTAAATAGTTCTTAAGGACAATGTCCTTTCGAGCACGACTCAAGCAATTAGAAGTTCACTGTTCGCGTCTGCATTTGGTGCCGCCAACAATCTTAAGAACTAGTCAACCCAATGGGGACCAATGGTGCTGAGAATGTCACCCCCAAAGGTGTGTCTAGTGGTTCGGCTAGAGGTCAGTACGTCCTTGTCACTGTTGCCGTCCCCCTACTGAGGCTGTTCCCAGACATATCGAAGATAGAAGTCTTTGATGGCCAAAACTTCAAACACTGGCAGGAATGTATCTTCACAGTTCTTGACATGCATGGTGTGGCGGCTGCTCTTGCTCAATCCGAGCCTCCTGCTGATAGTGATCAAGCCCAGAGAGTTGCATGGACTTATACAAACAAGGTATGCCGACACACTATCATTAGCACTTTATTTAATGATTTGTTCGATGTCTACTGTGTCTACAAGGAAGCTTGTAAGATATGGGAGTCCCTGGTGACAAAGTACACTACTGAGGATGCCAGCAAACAAAAGTTTGTTGTGGGCAACTACTACAAATGGGAGATGACTGAGAACAAGGATGTCAAGGAGCAAATCAACAAATATCATAAGTTGCTGGAGGAGCTTTGTGCTAAAAACATCAACCTTCCAGACGAGTTCGTTGCTGGGATACTGATCGAGAAGTTGCCAGAATCATGGTCTGACTACAAACAGCAGCTGAAACACAAACAGAATCAGCTATCCTTGACTAACTTGATCACTTACATCATTATCAAAGATACCAACCGCAACGCAATACGTGTAGCTCAAACCAGAGAAATGACATCCAAAGCCAACCTGGTGGAGACAAAGCCTCACAATAAGAGGTATGATTCTAAAACTAAAAACAAGAAGAATAGAAAATCTGATTACAAACCCAATGCTTCTAACCCTTCTTACAAAAAGAAAGGAGACTGTTTTGTCTGTGGTAAGCCAGGATACTATGCAGTACAGTGTAGGAAGAGAGCAAATCGTGATAAGCCTTGGAAGCCAAATGTAAATTTGGTACAATGAGATGGTGACAGTGATGATGGCATCATTGCTGCAGTGGTGTCACAAGCTCTCTTGATTTCTGATGTGAAGAAATGGGTGGTAGACTTCGGGGCTACCAGGCACATATGTGCTAGCCAAGAGATGTTTACTACCTATAATCCTGTAAAGGAAGGGGAAGACCATGTTTACCTTGCTGATTCCTGAACTGCTAAAGTTTAAGGAAAAGGGAAAGTGGTCTTAAAGCTCACATCAAGAAAGACTTTGGCTCTGAATGATGTTCTGCATGTGCCTGAAGTTAGAGCTAACTTAGTGTTAGTTGCTCTTTTAGGGAAAGCTGAGGTTAAAGTGTTATTTGAATTTGACAAGATTGTAATGACAAAAAATAATGTGTTTGTAGGCAAAGGGCATTGTAATCAGGGACTGTTTGTTTTGAATGTTGATAAAATGAACAAGACTGAATCTTCTGAGTATATGCCTATTTATATGGTTGATTCTTTTGATCCGTGGCATGCTAGACTAGGTCACGCTAGTAAAGGTTATATAAATAGGATGCGACAACTTAAACTACTTTCTGAAATTAAAAACAATAATTTTGGAAAATGTGAAGTATGTGCAGAAACTAAACAAAGTAAAAAACCTCATTTTTCTAATCAAAGAGAATCTGAATTACTGTCTTTAATTCACACATATTTAGGTGACTTAAAACAAACCATGACGGTAAAAAATATTATATCACTTTTATTAATGATTTTTCAAGATATATTAAACTATACTTGTTAAAAAACAAAGACGAAGCTTTTGAAAAATTTCTTTTATA